GATGATGACGATGATGATGATAATAACAAAACAAAGAGCAAACTTTAAGTCCCCCAACACCCCCCCCCACCCCTACCCCCACGGCATCTCTGTAATATATTATGTGTGTTTTGTGTGTGTGTCTGTTTCAGTGTACACGTACATCCAGAGTCGCTTCTACCGGTCCCCCGAGGTGATCCTGGGACTTCCTTACTCCATGCCCATCGACATGTGGAGCTTCGGATGTATCCTGGCAGAGCTCTATACAGGCTACCCGCTCTTCCCAGGTACCTTGGTGGATTTCAATGAAGCCCGCCTCTAGAATTATGATCTTAATTATCGTATTATAACAATTTTTTAAATTAGGTCAGCTCTTAAAGATCCTTACAGACACATTATTATTAGTAGTAGTATCATTGTTGTTACTATTATTTTTATTATTATGATGATGGTTATTACTACTATTATTATTTATTATTATTATTATCTATTATTATTATTATTATTATTATTATTATTATATATATTATTGTTATGATTATTGATATTATTGTTATTATTTTGTTATTATCATTATTATTTTATTGTCTTACGCAAATCAAAAACAGAAATTTGCTGTACTTATCATGTCTTGCTTGCTTGTTGCCTCTCTTTTAAAATTTCAAATATTTGAAAGAATAGGAAAATCTGAAAAAATAATGAAAATATATGCTTCTTTTTAAATTACCCCTCCCTCCACCCCTTCCTTTAAAAAATTATTTTAAAAAACAACCCCCCCCCCCCCGAAAAACCCCAGAACCCAAACAAATAAACAACAAAACAAAACATGTCTTTAAATGACTAGATCGTGTGTCTTCAATGGGACAGTAAAGGACACGTAATCGTGAAGTTGCGGGTTCGGGGGTTCGAGCTTCACCCAGGTGGGAATGGGTACCCGCCATAGACAGCGAAAGATCTTGTCAGTATGATAGTGTTTTAGCGCCTATTAATGGCTGCTTGCATGCACTGTATGCTTCCCAGGAAATTGAGGTTGTTTCAGAATGCTCTCAGATCTGTTGGGGTAATAGTATAGATTGTGAAGCGCATAGAGCTTGCTGTTGAGCGGGGATTTAATTGCACTATACAAATACTATTTATTATTATTAAAGTACATCTTAAAGTGATATTATCTGATCCCAATCAGTGGATACATTATTCTTAAAACAAAGAGGTGTGGCTCAATCCTCAGGTGAGAACGAGGTGGAGCAGTTAGCGTGCATCATGGAAGTGATGGGGATTCCCCCAACCCCCGTCATGGACCAGGCTACAAGGAAACGACTCTTCTTCGGTCAGTACACAATGATTACTTTTACGTCTATTCGCCGCTTATACCATTCAGGGTGTCGCGGGAAGAAAGAGACGTCTCTCTGTCGCCAGCCGGAGAGCTTGGGTCAGGGGGATGCCGTGATTGGTTAATGTTTCCCTGACTCCATCTATCCAGGTCTGTCTCGGTCGCCCTCTAGCCTTGTTGCCATCGAATTTTTAAAAAATGTAGGCTCGTTGTGCTGGGTGGTGTGTTGGTAATCGCATGAAATGTCTGAACCACAAAGTGATTGACGATGTTTTACGTCCCTTTCGACACTAGTTTTCTGTTTCGTCGTGCCCCTGTAAGTCAGGGGTAAGGGACTGTAGTAAGGTCTACATCTCACATGTGGGTGGTTGGCAGGTGCTCTTGTGTGGTTTGCTTCTTCTTTCCTTTGAAACATCTACCGTCCTAACTCCCCTTCTTCTTGTTTATGTTTGTTACTCTCTTGTAACACCTCTAATCTTCTGGCGCTCATGATTATGACCTTATGCAGTTGTGAGCGCCGTAAAACCTCTACTAAAACTAATCCAGTTGTTGTTGTTTTTTGTGTGTGTTTTTTTCAGTTTTTGCGAAACAATCCTGCGTCGACTTACCCACCTCATTCTTCTGACCTTTTCAACTGGTCGTTGTCAAGAACAAGATGTAAACAAAAAAATCGTTCAGTTTTTTTAATGTACGACGTATACCTTTTGTTTGAGTTTTTGTAAGAGTTTTACGGAACTTGCAAAACAAAAAGGTCATATAAGTGCCGAAGATAAGAGGTGTCACTTCAGAGAAAAATACAAAAAAGAAGAAGGAAATATTACGATAACAATAATATGTTGGAAGGGAAAAAGGAGCACACCATGCCAGAGAACCCATCAACCATCCACGTTACAGAGTCAAATTTGGGAATAAATAAGTGTAGTCCATCAAAAGTTTTAGAAAATTATCGTTGTATTGTTTAAAAATGAATGACGTATGATAAAGCCGATAATAGTGATGGTGATGATGATGATGATGATGATGATGATGATGATGATGATGATGATGATGATG